CGTATCCTCTCCTTTCACAACCACATCTAATCCAATTTTCAAGTTCATCTCCTCAAACGCTCCCAGAACCCTCAACTCAGGAGACGCTTGGAAGCCAGACATTCTCCTTCATCCCGTTCAAGAACTCACCCCCAAAAGACTGCCCCTCAGCCCAATTAATCCCACAACCAACCCCAATTCCGCCAAACGGCGCCAGCGTTCCCGCGGCACTAACAGCGCCCGACCCCGTCGTCGCCGAGACGTTCTTGTTCAGCGCCGTGATATCGACCGCAGCCTTCGTCTCGTTATCCTGTCGCGGGGTCAGGAGGCTGCCTGCCGACGCGAGGCCTGCCACGGCGAGGAGCGCGAGGGTTGAGCGGGCCATTATTGCTTCTCGTTTCGGGGGAGGATGTTATTCGGTTATGGACGGTGTTTCGTCGATCGCAGATTCGTGGTTGATTTACGTTTAGTCGAGTAGATGCCGCAGGTAGAACGAGTGACTGTGGTGAGTAGAGGTAGTTGGCGAGAACCTCACGATGCCCACTCCCCGCGGGAACGAGGTGGGACGGAGACTTATATCTCACCGCGCCCCCACGCGCGCGCGGCCCTCAGCATCTACGTAGTAAATGGCTGGGATGATCATGATCCTATAACCCGGTAAAAGGGGCGGAGGGGAGACACAGACAACTCCATCACCAGAAACTCTAAAAGATGAAATCCTGCGAGAAGTGGATCGCGGCGCGGCTTCCCCGGCATTGGGTGAACATGGGCAACCCGTCGACGTTCGTCTCAAGTTTGGGAAGCTGTCAACGCGCTGTGTCACCTGTGCTGAGAGCCTTATTGGTCTCTCTTAATTTTCACCCGTTGGTAAAAGAGGGTATTTGCGATGATCCTGGTCCCTGCGGCGGGAGAAGAAAGGTCCTCTGTGCCCAACGGAGTGGTTCGCACTTAAACTCCGGGAAGCATCAGCGCCAAGAGAACCTCGAGCACTTGATGGGCAGAACGTTCAAGACTACCTGCGGATACTGAGGAGTGCATCGCGACCACGGGTTGAAGGCCATTGTACGGAGTACAACGTGCTTTGCTTTCACGGTTGCTATCCACGTTGTGCTATTTACAAGAGACCGAAGCGAAATACCCTCGAGGGTGGAAGGGTGCTTTGGGCACGATCTCACGAGTCAGGTCGGGGTTTTTGTCCAGCTGTATTTCACAGGCTCTAATTCCTTGACTGATATTGGGGAAGTTGTCCAAAGACTTCCGCCCGATGATCTCTAGACTCTAACCCGAGCACCTCGCAAGTTCTAGAACCGCTGCTGCCAATCTACGAATACATTCCAACCTCCAAATTCTCCGGCCGTATGTCAAACGGTCTCAGATCGCGTAGCAAGTCGCATGTCCTATCTGGCACGTGAGAGGCGGGATGTACATTCCTGACCAAGTAAACTCTCAGCTAAGCTCGGAGCTATGATGCGATGTGTCCCATCACACAGCTACGGACGTAAAACCTCCTACATTCCAAGTGACTCACCACTGCTGTTCGCAGAAAAAGGGGAACAGAGAGGGAGGAGACCAGCGAAAAAAGTTCAAGACACGCTTAGCATAGTGAGATATCCGTGTTTCCTAGACCTAAGTCGTCAAACCACTTGTAGTACATGGAACAAATCCGCGAGGACGTTCGTTCTTCATGAGTGTAACACCACTTCTTTCTTCCCGCTCATCAGGATCCTGCCGTGAGTTGGCGGTTTCGCCCAGCGAAAAACCGCATGATCCTGTTTGTCTCTCTCTATCTAAAGTGCCTTTCCTCAAGAACCCTGCCCTATTTCTAACAATTGTTTTGTATCATTCGTTTCATTTTCCATTTCACATAGTCCATTTCTCATAAACCCGTTCAGTTCCCCCGTTTTTGTTTCCCGTGTACACATATGGTAGTAACCCCGTCTAAAAAGTCTTGAACCCAACAGCAGCTGTGCAGAGGGGTGGAATGCTGCGCGCAGTTCAAGGTGCTCTGCCCCATGTGATCTACAGGCCACTTAATCCACACACACAAGAATGAAAGAGAAGAATGATGAAGAGAAAAACACATGAAGAAGCAACATGTAGTAATGCAGGAGAGTCAAAGCCGGACCCAAGAGTGAGGCCTCAAACCACAATCGGATTATGAGAATCAGCCCCCTGGTCCTCAACCATCTCCAGGAACCGGGAGCACGGCGGCAGCCTCACACGCGCTCGGTGCGAACTAGCAGGCCACGCCCGGATCGAGTCGTAAAATTCGAGCCGCATGGGCGTCGAGGAAGCGTGCAGCCTACGCAGGTTGTTGGATTTGAGTAGCGAGATGCGCGGCGGCGTCAGGCTTAGGCGTCGGACGGCGGGCTCCGAGTGCTGGCGTCTGCGTGTTCGGATTTGCGCGGCTGCCACGGACGCCAGAGGAGGCGGAGGCGGAGGAGACTGGTGAAGCTGAGAGGTGCGCTGTTCCGGCAGGAGTTGCAGCTTGGGCGGCAGAATCTCTGTCGGTGTTCGAGGGGGTGGCGACCCGGATGCCACGGAGCTGCGGTCCCCTGCTGCTGCTGCTTCGAAATTACCATGTTCTGCACCGGCAAGGTGCAGAGATACGGGGCGGGTGTCGTAGGAGTGGCTGTAGCTGTGCTGAAAGGCCGCGCCTCCGCGTCCTCCTCTTGGTCCCGCGTGCTCTTCCGCCTCTCGTCTGTTAAACGCGGCGGCAGCGCGGGACTGCACTCTCCTCTTGCGCGCAAACTCGGAATTGAGAGAGCTCATCAGCCTCTCGAGCACCTTCCAGGGGAAAATGACGGTGCCCACCTCCCAGGCCCTCCCAGCACCGAGCTCCGTGGAGAAGAAGCTCGTCCACGCGCGTGCGTTGGAGCAAGGCTCGCCGAGAATCATGGCGTCTGGCGAAGTTCGCATGCGGAGCATCAACTCGGATCGTTCCCGTTTGCTAAAGGGCATAAATGACATTGATGATGCGTTCACCATGTGCTGCAGTAGAACCAGGGCCTCGGATGCCTTGAAGAATTCGGCGTAGGGTCCTCCCAGAGCCAGGAAAGTTTGGCGGTAGCATGTGATGTTTGCTTGCCCTTGCTTTGTAGGGCGGCCTTGCTGCAGGATGAGAGTGACGGCGCGGTTGTTGCGGGTGAGGGTGACGGTGTAGTTCTGGTGAGGCGATGATGCCTCGCGAGACTGCCGTTGAGGGTGAGAGTTATCTCCCGAGCGAGATGCGGCTACGCTAAGATAGCCATGTTGCTTGGTATCGATCCCTTGATCTGAAATTGCTTCACCCCCATATCGATATGAGCCTTGGCTTTCTGGCCAGAGACTTGTAACGCTGCAGCTATCCGAGTGGGAGCGTAGATGGGCATGGACAGGCCGACTCGGTGTTGGAGGCTGGACGACCGGTTCTGGTGCAAAATATGAGTCGAACTTGGTAGGAGGCGTCTCTGGTCCAAAGGAAGACGTCCGTGTCCGCACATCTGAAGGGGTGTCTTGTCGTAGCTCGGGGGTCTGGTCTAGACGAAGATGTTGGATATCAGGAGAATATCTGGATACTTCATCGGGGGATGTTCGAGGTGGTTGCTTGGCGTAGGCGTTTGGTGGCCGGAAACCAAAGACACAGTTAAGCTTGCTAACGGTCTGGGCCGTGGAATCATCTACATCCCATGGTGACGATGTCGATGTTGAGCGGAAGGCGTCGACTGTCGGCCATTTCGCGTGGGAGACTGGCCCATCTACGTTTCTGCGTGGCATGGGAGCAAACATTGGAAAGGATGACATAGTGAACTGAGTAGGGAAAATCAGACGAAAGTGGAAGAGAAGCCTTGCTTTTCGGAACGCAGCAGCCTCAAACCTCGAGAAAAGAGTGAACGTAGGGCGCTCCCTCGTCAGCAGGCCGGGAGCATATATACGGAAAGACTTCTACCCGCAACGCAGCATTAGGACGCAACCAAACGATCGGACCAAAGGGGGAGCGGTCAGCCAGCTCGACCACACACCGAGACAGCTTGTCTTGCATCTCCCCGCGCGGGCCAATCCCTCTCCAGCCAACATGCCAAGGGCAGAGTGTTTTCTTCTTCATCGTCACATCCAACGCACAATACACTTCAGAGGGCTGTTGGTAGGGCTAACCTCGTCTATACAGCTGGTGCTGCTGTCGAGGGTGTTGGAAAGAAAAAGGCCAAAAAAAAAGGCACCCCCGCCTGACCGGGAACTTGGGAGACACACCACCATCTTATTTTCTTAGCGTGCGTAAGTGTCTTCCACAGCCTCGATGGCTTGCCCCTCCCTGCATGCCTCCCGAAGAGATCGTCATTCTGCTTATGCAGAAAAGCAATGTGGACTCCAATCAAGAGGTCCGATACGCACTCCCGCATGTCGCTAGCCGATTCAGAGCCTCGTGTCAACCGGCCGAAATTGTGGCATTGCCGATTGATCGCATGCGTCGATGCCCGAGGGAGAGAATTTATGACGGCAAAAAGCAAAGTGGTCCCGAGGGTCTGTGAGTGGCCGGCTGCTCGCATGAGAGCGGGCTGCAGCCGTGGGATACTGCACGATATATCATTTTTTACTTCTCTTTGCCCTCGTCCGCTGCCGCATGGGCAGAACGAAACGAGACAAGTCCAAGCGAAGATGAGAGGATTGGCCAACGGGGTGGACAGGCAAGATGAGGCGAGAGCATGCTGCAGTCAGCGGGATTGTTTGCTCCCACGGAAGTTTGTTCGCTGTTGGTAGAAACTTGAGATTCCTTGCTCCAAGCCATCCGAAGATTCACGAAAACGGCTGGAATGGGTTACGGGCGGTTGACGAAGATGAGAAAAGTACCGGCGCACTCCGCTGTCTGCTCACCGCTGTATAGGTACATTGTGACATGGCGTGAGAGAAAGAGTAGGTAATAGTGTGGGCAAGTGTGTGTGTATGCCGTCGAAGAAGCAAGGTGGAAAAAGCAAAGTGTCTCGTCCAAGCGCGAGCGATGTGAGACTTTGAGAGACAAGGTCGACACAGGTGCAGCCGACGAATCACAAATGTGCTAAATTAATAACCGCAGGGAGCAGGTTATATAGCTGAGCTGGGAACGTCGGATGGGGTGTGGTGACTGGTGACTGGTGACAGTGTGCTGCGGTTGGTAGCTGGCACACACACACACACACACATAATGTTTGGCCCTTGGGCGACGTGATGGGCGTTTGTTGACGTGGTCTGCGCTGTGTTACACAGATTGATTGCGGTGGATTCCTAGACTTCGCGGTCAGCTGTGACTCCGTGACAGAGTCAGACAGAAAGCAAATGGCAACGAGACAGGGCTGCAATGCGGGCGGAGAGACAGGGCCTGGGCAATGAATGTGAGCCGTCATGCGATGCAACATTGGAAAGGCCGGGGGACAAGGTGACGGGCAAGGGATAGAGACGTTTGATGTTGCGCTGCAGCTGAAAAGCTCCGAGGTGTGAGTGAGGTGCCGGTATGGTGCTTGCGAAGGGGGAGAGGGGGGAAGAGAAGAGGTGTGGGTGGGTTGGTGCTGCATCGCAGCCAAGAAGCGTTGTGAGTTGGTGGTGAGAAGTGGAGGTTGAGTGGTGATGGTGGAGGTGTGGTTCGTGATGTGTGGCTGGTGGAGTTTGCAATATCGCAAGCCACAGGTCCAGCCACAAGTCATATCATGTCATCAGCTCACCAGCCACCCATGTCATGCAGTCATCTCTGCCTGCCGTTTGCGAAACGTGGGAAGAGCAGGAGGTGCAGTATACGTACCTCGTGTACGGAGCACAACAGACGGAACGAACCAGTGGCTTCCATCTCCAGTTCCTGCCTGTTGTCTGCCTTGCCTGCGTCGTCTGATGTAGTGACTACTTTCGGTCACCTCGTGTCAATAAGATTCGACATCTACATGTCAAACTCTCGTCAACTACGCCCTTGCAACGACATTGACATTCAGTACGGAGCACATACAACCATGACAGATGCCATTCCTAGCTACCATCCGCGCCTCTGATTCGTCAATCTATTTTCGCACTTGCTGCCTAGAAGCTCTACCCTTGGCGAAGCCATAGCCCTATTCAACGGCCTCAGACTAAGCGTAAATCGACTCGGACTATGGCCGTGCAGAGAAGCAAATCGAAGATGCCCTCAACTACACGCCTCGAGGTACTCACCACGAAGAGTCGACAAATGGTCCAGTCACTTCGTTCACCTGGGAATCATGATGCTCAACATATAAGTGTCATGTCTGCTTCATGCTGAGTTTCTTACCTCGTCCGGATTATACTATCAACGCGCACACAGAGTAACATCAATACTTTGACCATCAAACTCTACCAACATATGTCCGCACCTCCAATCCCTGACACGAAAATGGCTTCCGCCGCAACACTCCAGCTTACATTGGCCAATTCAATATCGGGTGATTATGGCCACCGCCAGCCCTATGCCTTAACCCCAACCGTGCCTACCAACAACACGGTTGATGGCAGCAATGCTGCTCCAGATGACTTGGCAGAAGCAATTCGCCTCGCCGCTCTTTGCCGAGAGGCTTTCAATCTTCTCGATGCTAAAATGCCAGACTTTGATCACGCCAAAGCGTACACGGCCGATGAGATTCTTTCACTGCCCATGGACGGAATTCGCCTGCCAGACGAGCTGTTCAGTCTCCCGCGCCGGAAATCTGCGCGATCTCGCCTCGCCGAAGCCGTTGCAACGCTGTTGTATCCCGCCACCCACGATAATGCTGTGTCACCCGTCATTCGGTACGACGCGGCGAGGGTCAAGTTGCGTGCATGGGTTGCCCTGCAGCGGAAACACGACATCTTTGCCGCCACCAAACGGAACGGCCACAGCTTCCGCGGCTTGACCGGCGGGGCTGCCCCGGGCGTGCATGTGCCTGTGTGGGCGTCCCGCATCCTTGCCCAGGGCCCGTGGGACCCGTCTAAATTCCCCGTGTCCCTCGCTGGCACTAAAGCCATCCCGATGCCCGTTTCCGTTGCCGACGGCGCCGACCTGGCGCCGTTCTTCAACCACCTTGAGCGTGGCGGCACTCACGAGCTTGACGAGGCTTCCGGCAGCTTAAGCACACATCTCGATGGCGGCAAAGGCGAACCCTTCTATGGTGTCAAAGGAGCAGAGTTTCGCAAAGGTGTCGTCTACCAAGACGGTCGCATGGATCTGTGTAAAATGGTCGTTGGTCCAGACCACATTGGCAGCCTGATGGACAGCTTACGGCCGAACCCCTTCGTACGACACTTCCTGTTGGGTAACAATATCATTGGCCCGGTTGGGGCTCAGGAGATCGCGCGCTTCGTCCGCGAGTTCCCCGAACGCATGGATACTTGGTACTTGGCAGGCAATTGCATCGACGCCACCAGCTTCAGGGTCCTTGTCGGTGCCTTGGTAGACTCAGACGCAGTGACGAACATCTGGCTGAAACGAAACCCGCTAGGTCCCGTAGCCGCTGCAGATGTATTCCGGCTCATCACCGAGACCAAAAACCTCCGCACTCTGGACCTCGACCAGACTGAGCTGGGTGATGCGGGCATCGCAGAGCTCTTCCAACGTCTGACAACTTTTTCCTCTGCGGTTCCCGGCCGTAAGAAACTACCCCTGCGAAATATATACCTCAACGGAAACGGCATATCGACCAAGGCCGCTTCTGCCATCGCCGCTTTCTTATCCTCCCCTGCCTGCGGAATCACCTCGCTCTACCTGTCATGCAACCCACTGGGCGATGAAGGCGCGCAGGTGCTCGCTTCCGGAATCCGCCAGGCCACCAAACTCCAGCGGCTGTCACTCCAATCTGCCGGTCTGACTACTGAAGGCGCCATTGACATCTTCCGGGCTGTCACGTCGCATCCCGGTATGCGCATGTTGGATGTAGGCCAGGCATATGCGACCCTCGACCTCGGCCAGGCATGGAATTACATCCAAAATGCCTCTGCTCCAGTTCTCTGCGAGCTGTTGTCGACAAATCAGACTCTCGAGTACCTGAACCTCGGCCACTGCCCGATCACACCGCCAGAGTTGCGAAGGATCGACGCCGCTGTCTTGAACAGCTCCTTGCTGTACTACAGCGTTGACTCCATTCTTCCCGAACCGCATCGCAAAGAGCCTACATTCAATCCGTCGGCGGATTCGACAATGCCAGAGCTCCACTCGATTTCGGCGCCAACGAAGGACGACAAGGCCCTTGAGAAGGCGGTTGATGCCCACCTCGAAGCTAACGTCAAGGCCAGATTCGGTACTGACATGACTTATACGAGGTTCCTCGATGAGGAGCTGCGGTGGATGACCAGTGACAAGAACGACGTGCGCAAAATTGACTCCGTGTATCGTAACCGTGACGCTGGCTTTGCTCGGCGAAAACAGCAACTCCTCGTCAAAGACTGGGACAGCAACGACGACACGCTGGACCGAGTCATGAACGCCAAAGGTCCGTTCTGCGCGACACGCAAACACTGAGGTCTCTCCAACTAGAACCTCCAGCGAGGTCTCTCTGAGGGTTGAGGCTCTCAGTCAGACTGGGCCGGAAGATAGCCATCAATGGATTGAGGGCCTCGTGACGGAGGCAACGAGAGGGTTGCCATCGGCGTCAGGACTCCACTCAGGGCTTGGGATCATGGGCGCCGGAAGCCGCTCCTCCACCAACAGTCAATAAACCGTGTCAGGTCTATTAGTCTAGTTGGTTAGGACGTCGGATTCTGATTCTCAGAACCTTCCGTAGGCCCAGGTTCGAATCCTGGATGGACCTCATATTTTGATGATATTTCGGTTTCTTTTGCGTGGGTTGATATTATATGTTTTTACTTTTTTCGGGGGATTTTGTTTTGTTTTTTCTGGCGGAAATTTCGTTGCGCATGCATGTAGCGAGGGCTGTGTGGCTTCCCCTCCGATGGCTTGGGGTAACTACCTATCTCCCGATAACGATAACGACAAGATAATGTTGACGGACCAGCCCATATTATGTAAGCTCCAACGTCATTGCTTCCAAACGGAAAGGACGCAGAAGTCTCGGTCGCACTCGGTCGCAATCGACCTGAACCAACAACAGATCGCCAATTGAAACACGAATTGCGCCCAGCACATTCCCATCGCAGCGCGCCTCCAAGCTCGTGACTCAACCCATCGCTCTTGACCATGTGAGACAGCTTTTCCCATGCTCCCACACTGAAGATTCGCACGAAATTGTCTCAGTTCGACAGTCGTAGGACCCATTCAATCCACCGACCGATCTGAATCTCTCTCTCTCTCTTACGCAAGTCTCTCGATCCTCAACCCCTGCAAGGTCACTCCCGCCCACGAGGCCCCAAAGTTTAATTGATTCCATTCGCGCGCTCCGGAACTCTCACCGCGTACCTCGTGAGTCGCTGCGTAACATCATCGTTCACCACACGATCCTCGCCTCGCTCTCCCCTGAGCATGGCGCCGGCGAAGCGCAAGCGACCCCACGACGAGCCCGAACCTCCCATCCCGGCTGCCGCTGCCGTCGCCGCCGTCGCCGCCGGCGCAACAACCGCCGATCCGACGACGACGCGTCGCGCAACGCGTCAAACTCCGATTCTGCCCCCTCCGATCCCGACCTCCGCCACCGCATCGCACCCGCAACCCTTGCACCCCTCCACTGCCGCCGCCGGTGCCGCTGAAGACAAGCGTATCAGTGGACGTCGTCCTTCCAATTCTAAGCCGTACCCCGCATCCAAGATCTCCGAGACGCCCATACCGATACCGATACCGCCAATATCGTCATCAGCATCACATCTACCACAGCAGCAGCAGCAGCAGCAGCTACCTATACCACGAGCGGTCGGTCAACCCGCAACACCTACACCACAGGAACCCCGCGTAACCCGTCAACGACGTGAGAGCGCAAACGCAAACGACTCATCGTCGCCCAAAATGGCATTCAAAGACGCAAAAGAAAACGTCAGACCCGTGACGCTCGTCGCGCCAAAGATCACGTACCAAGCACCCCAGACACAAGTTCACCGCAATCGCACCGGAGGCAGCCTCGTCCGTCCGAGCCCTCCCACAAGCCAGCCGCCCATAACGCAGCACTTCCGGCCAATCTCCTCGACGACAACTACAACAACGACAACGACGACGACGCGACCTTCCTATCACCACACCATTCCTGCTACCGTTACCGCCGTCCCTGTGCCCGTACACCCGACATCGACATCAACACCCTCCAAGCCGCCAGCGGCGGCGGCCCCGCCTCCACCACCTGTCCCTCCCCAGAGGACAGCAGATAAGTCCGCCCCACGGACCGATCGAAACATCGACAAGGTGATGCTCGGCAACATCTGTTTCCGGGCGTGGTACCCATCCTACTACGGCAAAGAAGTCCTCGGCGAGGCCGCGGGTGCAAAAACGGGCGGCGGCGGGAGCAAAAACCCCCTTGCACACGACGCTGCCAGCGCAAACAACAGCAGCAACAGCAACGGCGGCGCCAAGAACCAGCACCGAAAGGGCGGCGACGCGCCCATGCTCGACAGGTTATACGTGTGTCCTATGTGCTTCAAGTACTCCAAGGAGCTCGTGGCGTGGTGGGGCCACGTCCGCATGTGCGAGCGCAACGGGGTAGTGCCGGGACGGAAGGTCTACCGGCACCCACGGGGTCGGAGGCTGGTGCGCAAGGAAATTGCGCGGACGACGGGGAAGAAGACGAATGTTGCGCCGAAATATACCGAAGAGTATGTTACTGATGAGGGGGAGTGGAGTGTATGGGAAGTTGATGGCGAGCAGGATGTGGTGAGTACCCGACCCTGGTCCCTTTTCTATTTTTCTCATAGTGAGAGAAGACTTCTGCGAGGCAGACACATTTTGACTAACACAATTCACGCCAGCTCTTCTGCCAGAATCTTTCCCTATTCGCAAAACTCTTCCTCGACAACAAGTCCGTCTTCTTCGACGTCCGCGGCTTCAACTACTTCCTCCTAGTCTACACACCCCCGGCCCCCAAACCACACCCTTCCTCCCAACAAGACTCGACGGCAACAGCGACAGCATCAGCGCAGCCGCCACAACCGCCCCCGTCACCACCACCACGTCCACACATTGTCGGCTTCTTCTCAAAAGAGAAAATGTCGTGGGACAACAACAACCTAGCCTGTATCCTCGTCTTCCCGCCCTGGCAGAAAAAGGGGCTCGGCGCACTGCTCATGGGCGTGTCGTACGAGATCTCGCGGCGCGAGGGCGTGCTGGGCGGGCCGGAGAAACCTATTTCGGAACTAGGGAGGAAGGGGTATAAGCGGTTTTGGGGCGGGGAGATCGCGAGGTGGGTGTTGGGGTGTCCGAGTAACGGTCGAGTAGCAGGTGACGCGGATCCGGCGTTGTTGGTTGACCTCGAGGACTGCAGCCGGGCGACGTGGATCGCGTTGGATGATTGTCTTGCGACGTTACGGGAGATGGGTGTTGTCGTGGAGGCTGGACTGGGGCCTGGGAAGCCGCCGGCTAAGAAGAAGAAGGTGAAGAAAATAGCTGGGGAGGGCGATGCTGACGAGGAGGCGGTGGAAGAAGAGGAAGAAGAGGAAGAAGAGGATGAGGATGTTGAGATGGAGGACGCGGGTGCTGGGCCGCGACCTGATGTACCAAGGGTGAAGGTTAATAAGGCGTTTGTGTGGGAGTGGGTTGCTGCGAATGGAATTAGTCTCGAGAGGATATGTGATCCGGAGGGGTTTGTGGAGGGGTATGCTATTAAACAGCCGGATGTCGAGGAGGAGGATGACTGAAGCAGATATACCGAAGAGGTTTATTGATGACATGTCGTTAAATGCCTGGGCAACTCTGTGTTTGGGCGTGTTGCAGTTGTGATCATCGGGAACGCCGTCTGCTGACCAACGAGTAGTAAGTTTCTTCGATTAACGATTTGGATGTCGAGATGAAGAATGAAGGCTATAGTCTCCTTGATTTTAAATGGAAAAAGTCGCGAGTATTCTTCCTCATTATCTTATCCGTACGCTCTGGGCGGATTTGTGATGTGTTGCCGATGATGCCGATGATGCCGACGACTATAGCCATTTTCATCTCGTGGTAGTGTATTTCATCTATGTTACCCAAATCACTCAAGGCTGCCTACTCATGGGTATTTCCCAAACTCCCTCAAATTGGGTTTACTTCAGCCGCCTCTTCGTGCTTGAGGTGATTGTTCCTTACTTGTTTAATATCGAAGGCGACTCCCAGCTCGTGCTTGAGAAATATGAGCAAACTTAGTGGAAATGAATTCAAGATAGGATAAGTAAAAAAAACCTATAATTGGTAGAAAGGAGGATTATAGTAATAAGCGGTAAGACCTCTTGAGAAGTACGTTTGAGGGCTTTAAAATAAGAAAGGCTTTTCAATATTAAATTAATCACAATTAAATTTAGTAGTTTTTTATGTATAAAGATTGGTCATTTTACGTTACATGCATTTATCTTCTAGACTAAGGAAATATCACTTTCTTAGGGACTTGAAAGTTATTGGTTAAGATAATTTAAGTAAATTTTTAAAGAAAGTAAATTGTAATCGGCAAACCTGCTTAGAGCCTATACATCATTTACGAAATTCTGCCAAAATTGATGTCACAATGAAGTAAGCTTCTTGACTCCACGAAACGCATCTCTCGAATTATTCCTCTTGGCTTCTTAGTGGTTCAGGTTGCTCTCAACCAACTGAACAACAGTTTCGATACTCGTCGTTTTCCTTGATAATCTTTCAGACCGACGTTCCCAGCTGGCGTCGCCTTGTTAGTAGATGATTTGCCCGTAATCCCGTACAGAATCGAGTACACTCTGATTGAGAGCACCATGTTCTGTCGAGCGCGAGATTAGAATGAAGCGCTAGAACCTCTCAGTAGTATTATGTGTATCATATCGTACAAACTTCTTCAAAGGCACAATCCCGTGTGTGTTAATCATTTTGGCCAAATGAAGCCGGAGAGAGTTACTTACCCCATGGTTCATATCACAACCTTTTTTCATTGAAAAGTCTCCATTGAAACATGATATTTCTATCGGAGGTTGTCTTGCATGCCAACTTGCATTGTAAAATCCAGGACATCAAAGACGGGAAATGTCGGCTCTCTATGCCTGTTTCCATATGTATTGTTCCAATACGGATCGGAAATTACAACTTGAGGCTTGGCAAGGTAGTTGACATATGCGTAGAATGATTTGACGAGCCGCAATTTAAGTGACGCGGCAGGCCCCGCTCTATTGATTGTTAGGTTTTCCAACATGGCAAGTAGGCTCGGATGCCCACTCGTTAAAGCTTGACAAGCTTATTCACTAGCTCGCCGACGGCTTTCAATCTTGATGTTGTTTCTCGGGATATGACCAATTCTAGATGTTATTTATTCCCACTCTTGTCTCTACCATCGCAAACATCTCAATCAACCATCACAGCGATATAAATGCGTATGGAACTTGAACATCCTTCGCCTTCAGAACTTGAAAGCTGTATGTGAGAAGCTGGCTGCCACACGGAGCCACGTCGCATGGATTTGTTAGTAATATGGCACGTCTTGCGCTACATCTGAGCAGTGAAATGCCGTATTCTTACAAACTTGACCATCACGTGTTCCTCCATCGTTACCCTTGCACATCTGCGCCTTCTGAGGCAACCATCGTCGGCTCGGCATGCCCGAACCTAGCGGCTTTCATGGGCATACGTAGCCTCGGGAGGCTCTTGTAAGTCGTGATGATCATAATTGACGGTGATATTGTCGCTGGACATCATATGTTGCTCTCATCCCTCTTGCACTCGGACCCTTCCACTGGTGAGGCGGTGTGTGCAGCCCAGCCACCTATGATTTTCCAAGTAAGATGACGAAAAAGATCCAGAATGTTTGAAGAACCGAGTCTCGTTCAATGCGCTCACGTTACAAGTTTTTTCAGCCTCACCAGCTCTTGGAGAGATCTGAAGAAAAAAGGAGCTTCTAGAAATCCCAAAAGCTTCCGCATTTAGCCATCGACGCCGGGGTCGTCTCCCACATCACGTTGTAGATCGGGCCGCGCAATCAATCGGTGCGGCTTCCCCCCCTGCCCCCCCGGTAGGCATGTCACAGCATCAGTCGAAACACGAAAATGCGGGGACCGCAAAGGCCCAAAGAGGATTGCGAATCTACATGGCAACGTCAGAGCTCAGAAACCCCCAGCTTTCCGTGATGCGACTCCTTGTTTGAACCCCTTTCAAGACTTTTCCCGCTATTGTTACTCTTTTTCTCCGAACCGGATGGGGTCCCGAAAACAAGCTCCCGCTCCCTCTCCCCACAAGGCTTCCCGGCAGGACCGCAACGGCAAGAGGGAGCCAAGCCTCAACAGAGAATTGAGGCTCAGAGCCACATTCCCGGGGGCCTCTGGGGCTCTGCCGAATCGTTTATTCGCGTTAGACGTCGGACTAGTCTCCTTTCTGATGACTTTTTACCTAATTCAAGCTTCGTAATCGTTCGATTGGAGGCTGGGTTCATCCTCCCATCGCAGGCCTTCACACGCCTTTGCAGGCAACGTCAATGCTCGTTTGAGGTTCGGCGGACGACGACATGCCATCTAAACTCCCGATGTTGCAAGATGCTGGGTTGGTGATGTCGCGATGTCCACAGCCCGTCAAGTGTTCGACATGCCGGGCTATGCTTCGACGCAGCGTTCTAGACATCGGCAAACACGGCCCTAGGGGGAAACGTCAGCTGAATGGCAACATGAGACGAGCTGGATGATGGGATCAGTGGAGCTGAAAGTCTTCATGTTGCTTGCCAATGGCGACAAGTCTTGAGGATTCATTTGGCTATAAAGACTCACTCGATCTCGAGGAAATCAGGTTCTTTTTTCTCATCATTCTCATCAACAGTTTCTTAACTTTACCTCAACATCCTTTCTAACTCTTCAACCTTCTCCCGTGCTGTGCACATCTAACTTTAGTCATATTCACTATTTTCACTTGATTCTTCACTTCTTCGATTCTTTCGACGATACCCAACTCTCTCTCTCTCTCTCTCACCTCTATACTGTCATTACTCGACTTTTTGACCAAGTCTCCAATACCTAGTCAAAATGCGTTACACCACTCTCACCGTTCTCGCTATTGCCCTTCTCACGGGTAATGCCTTGACTGGTAAGTACTCTCACGGACATCGTATGGAGTCAGTGACTAACTCTCTTTTTTCTAGCTCCCGCTCCTCAGGGCGGTGCTGGTGCCATTGGAGGTGGTAACGGGGGAGGTGCCGGCAATGGAGCCGGAGCCGGAGGCAACACCGGAGGCAACACTGGCAATGCTGGCAACACCGGCAATGCTGGCAACAACAACAATAACAACAACGCCGGCAACAACAACCAGCAGCCCCCTCCTCCCCGTCCTACCAACACCAACAACAACCCTAATAATGCCAACCCCAACAACGCAAACAACGGAAATGGTGCGAACGCTGGGAACAACGCCAACAACGCCGGAGCTGCTGGCAACAACGCCGGCAACAACGCCGGCAACGCCAATAATGCCAACAACGGCAATGCGAACAATGTGAACAACGGAGCTGCGGGTGCCAACGGCAATGCGGCTGGAAACAACGCAAACACCGCCAACAACGCCGGCAACGGTAACTTCGCCAGAGCCGTGGCCCCCAACCAGCAGCCTCCCCCTCCTCCGGCGAACAACAACCAGCCTCCTCCTCCCAAGCCCAACAACCGCAGAGCCGTGAACCCTCAGGCTGCTCCTCCCCCTCCTCCCAAGGACAACACGCCTCCCCCTCCTAAGCCCAACGGTGCCAGAGCCATCAACCCGAACCAGCAGCCTCCTCCCCCTCCCGCCAATGACAACACTCCCCCTCCTCCTAAGCCTAACAACCGCCGGGCGGTGAACCCCAACCAACAGGCCCAGGCTCCTCCTCCTCCCGCCAACGACAACACTCCTCCTCCCCCCAAGCCCAACGGAGCGAGAGCAATCAACCCCAACCAACAGCCTCCCCCTCCCCCGGCCAACAACGAGCAGCCTCCTCCCAAGCCCAACAACCGCAGAGCGGTCAACCCTCAGGCCGCTCCTCCTCCTCCACCCAAGGACAACAACACCCCTCCTCCTCCTAAGCCGAACAACGCCAGAGCCGTCAACCCCAATGCGCAGGCGCCCCATCCTCCTCCCGCGGAGAACCAGCAGGCTCCTCCTCCCAAGCCTAACAACGCCGCTAGGGCCGTAAACCCAAACCAGCAGGCTCAGGCTCCTCCTCCTCCCCCGGCCAACGACAACACCCCTCCTCCTCCCAAGCCCAACGGCGCTCGGGCTGTCGACCCCAACCAGAGACCCCCTCCTCCTCCTCCTGCCACCAACCAGCAGGCTCCTCCCCCTGCTATCTAAGCGTAGCCTGTGACGAGGTCGCCGATGATAGTGACTGGTACTCTATTTAGACTTGAGAGAATTAGTCGGGAATCATACGGGACTGTAACTTGTCAGAGCTTTGGAGACAGAAAGATGATCTGGTGGCAAAACGGTGCGAATGGAGAGACGGCTAGGATTAATGAATGGTGTATAGCTCAGACTTACCTTGCTCTGATTCAGACCTAGGATCTGGATTCAGGGCACATGTAGCTCTAAAGGAACATAACAGACTACTATTGTCTTGAAAAAGATTTCTCCTCCCTTGTGACTAATAGAATGCCAGTTTGATGGGTTTGCTATAAGAGGCTATTTCTGTAGCTGTCTTCAAATCAAGTGAGCTTACATCAAGTGTTTCTAGATTCAAAGTGTTATTAGGATAATTCGAGAC